ACCCATCAACGACACGTTCTGACTTCTTTTTGTAAAAACAGATAATAGTAGAGACATCCACTTTAATTCATAAATGGGTATATCCTTTTAAGATTTTTATTTTCTTTTGAGTTCAAAACCATTTCCTCTCCTCCAGCATATATTTTTGTCCAATGTGCTTCTGTCATCAAAAACCCAAACACAAGGTTGGCCAAAATCTGAGTCTGCAGCTCATCCCTTAAAGAAAATCATAACTCACTGTCCATCAGAACAAGCTTGTTCCTGTATTTCTAGCAAAACATCAAGCAGCATACCTACTTACAGTACATGCAAAGACACTGGACAAAGCTTGTTTTTGATCTGCTCTGAAATCGTGATTAGTCTTAAACTAATCACGATTTCTTCTAGATGAAGACGAAAAATCAATTTGCCTGAGATCACTCAACCAGCTGCGGTATCACTTCATGTTGCACACAAAGAATTACCACAATACAATGGCAGGAGTTAATCTTCTACACACTGCCCCCTTTCAGCCCCCCTCCCACATGTGAAGCACTGTTTGGCCAGACAGATGGATTAAACCCCTCCACCCCCATTACCAAATATGTGCTTTTCTCACACCAAGCAAACAATTATTTAAGTTTCAAATTGCTTTAAGATTGAGGAGCATTCCCCAGTCTTAGAAACTGTTAATTTACAATGTAATCAAACCAGAACTGCCTAATTATGCTAAAATGTAAAAAGAGAACAGGAAGAAAAGTGATTCATCAATTTAACTTGCAATTACATTAAACTCTATGAGAAACTTAACAAGTGAGTCAACAGGGGGGAAAAAACTATAATTCCAAGCTTTATAAAATGATGTTTAACTACACCTGTCCAGCAAATAATAAGATAAAAGATTTTAAATATATTGTCTAGGTGGACTTTTATTGCTTTAAATCTGAAAGAAAACGGGTTGTAAAAAAAGGTGAAACAAGGTCGCTGAACAAACGCTATTAGGGTAGATGGTGAACTTGACCTTCTATTGAACCCAGGGTCTTTAAACAAGTTCATTACAACCAAAACAGAAAGGCTTCTGCATGGAATCAGATGCACAAAAGAAGCCGGCCGTTTCATTCAAACACATCACACAAAGGTTTCATAATTACTAGCAGAATAAGGCTACATATATTTATATATTCGCTGGGCATCAAATGGATCTTGGACGTGTTATAAACAGCTAAAGTGTTTAGCAGAGGTAGCATCTGGGCTAAGTTGCTTACCAGTCGTTTGCTGTACCGTGTGTGAGGATCTTCCATAGTCTGCAAAAGAGGAATAAAGTTAAATCTCTAAAACGGGCAAACTAAGCCCTTAATGACATTGCTATAATGTCACATTTTTCTTTGAAACTAATATTCTTCTATTTGAGCCGGGCGCTCACTGCTAGTTCTCGACTGCTACTATTGCCTTAGCCAGCGAGCTACGGCTAGCATCACACGATTGGTTTTTTCCACAATATATTCTTATTTTTCAAACTGCTAAAGGTCGAAGCTGACAGCAACATAGTTAATGAACTAATATGTGTCGCTGTAGCCAAACGTCAGCTGAGAGGGCAAGCTAGCTCCGCTGACAATACAGTTCTTAGGTCGTCGGCTACAAATGATGCTAACTAGCTAGTTGTCGCTAGCCCGTCTACGGTAGTTGGGAGATTTTCATCATTACCTTTATGTTTAAACTCCGCTAAGACGGTGTGGTGGAAGTAATGTGTCCCGACTAACGCGCCTGTAGCCTCTGGATACGGTTTCTCCCCATGTTATGCGGAAAAAAGACCAGAATTTTTGAGGTGTTTGTTATTGTGCGATAAAAGTTAGGAGCTGTCGACGGTCCGGGCCACCGCCATTTTCAGCTGGTTAGAAAACACACACAAACACTCACGCACACACACAAAAAGGAACAAGATCGAATCCCCGCCCCCTTCCCTGTTCACCACCAGACTGGAGATTAGAACGAGCTGCTGTGATTGGACACAGCGGGTGCTATTTAAAAAGCTATTACAATATATTAACATTCGAAGGCGTTTGATTTATCCGCCGGCTGACGGATTGGTTACTTTGTTTCATTAACGTCCGGATCAGAGCCGACAGTAATTTTGAGAAGTGACAAACAAAAGAAAGAAAAACAAACTACTTATAATTCGACGAGTTTCCATTTACAGCGAGTTAAAAATGCTACATTTAGAAATCCAACCATCATGAAACATTTATTAATGATGGTGGCTGTAATGAAAATAACACATGCTCAAACGTTGTTATTTTCTAACAATAGTTTTAATCTGAGAAATTAGCCGCATCAAAAGGCATCATGTAATTCACTGAACACCGACGTCTATCAAAAATACATTAATAAAATACAAAGAAAGTAAATAAATGTATACAAAAACATATTTAAAAAAAAACGTTCAGAAATCAGTTTGATATGGGAAATGTTACGAGATTTATATGACTGAAATATTATTCTGACAAATGGGTGGGGGGGGGATAATCACAATTTACCAAAAAAAAAAGGGTTTTCAGTTTTAATCTCCTTGTATGATCCTTTAAAATTTGACACTCTTTTATAAATGAGTAAAACAATAAATCATCTCTGTTTCTTAAGATTACATAATTAAACACTTAAATTTATGAAGTTTAACATAAAAAGTTAAGACTGTCACTTATGAAATTCACACAGCAGCCCTGAATACTTTTATGCATTTACCCTTTCAAAACGTTTGCAGTTTTATTCTCTGAAAAGGGACATTTAACGTTTTTAAACAATTTTGACCCTTCCAGCTCATCCTCCAAATCCGGATGAGCAAAACGAACGCACCCCACTCCAGGTCGAGCAGATGGGCGGGGCTTCCGAGCAGCGGCGAGATGGGGGATGAAATTAGGTCAGAAAGCTCACCCGAGGCTAAACAGCAGAGCCTCAGCTAGACCAGATCTGCACAAATGATCAATGCTACGACATATATATGTATATTTTCTCCCTTCAGCATGTACGATCAGCTGATGCAAACGATTCACTGAAGGACTGAGGCATGAACGGTTCTTGGTTCACTGTAGATTTTCTTTTATTACATAACAGGCTTTATAGAGTTGACATAGCCAGCAAAGCCAGCGAGACCCGCTGTTACAGAACAGATACAAGCTTTTTCTTTTAAAAGCAGGACTCATACACACAAAAATTACATTTATAACACACAAATGCTAGAATAGTACAGATCTGCTTCAGACGTTTTAGAGTGTAGGCAGAGAAAATCCAAGATCTTGTAAAGTTTAGATGACATCCCCAGTCATTTCTTCAATGTTCACAATGGTTATTTCTGCAGAGAGCCACCAGGAGGCGCTGGACTAAAGCTGAACAGAGTGATGCGTGAAGATTAACAGTCACATGTTGAGCCATCTGTCAAAGAGGAGGCAGACTGCGAAAAATCCACACATTTATAACAAGTTTTCAAACACTTTATACAGCAAGAACAGAGATTCAAATGAGAGTCAGAGGGGAAGGGAGAAAGGGTAAGAAAGCAGTGGTTATTTTTTATTTGAGAGCGCCTTAAATTTAATCTACAAATTTAAATGACAGAAACTGGGTAAGAACCACAGGTAAAAAAAAAAAAAAAAGTTTTCTCCTGGAGATGTCTATTCCTAGGAAGAACACAAAGACAGAAAAAGAGTGGTTAAACAGTCAAAGCACCGTGCAAATGGTAAAAGATGATCACAGACTGATGCTTCACCTGTGCAAAATCTTTTATGAGAAGAAACTGTAGAGATAGGAGAACCCAACGATCCCAATGATGGCACAACACAATGTGATCATCATCTTTTTCTGGAGAGTTAAAATACACACAAGAAAGTTACAGAAGAAACAAAATACAAGTGTTTGCATATCTAGGGGAGTCGGTAAGAGGAAATGATGCAGCAAAGGGGAAGGAAGGGTCAGATTATGGTGTGTGTATCTGCATGCTATAGAAGACAGGCGATGCAACTTACCTTCACTTCCTCATATCAGTTCTTTGAAAACTACTTTAACGCAGAGGTCAAGAGAAAACACTTTCACACATCTACTCCACAACAGTCTTCAGAGCTATTCACATGCAGCTGCAGTGCCTTGCAGAAGTATTCACACCCTGTTAATTTGATCAATAAGCTTCAGTGCCATTTATTGGGATTTCATGTCGTGAATCAACACAGACAAATGCAAACTAGCATAGTTTATTTTTTACACAAAAAAAGTCTCTTAAACCCCTAAAAAACTGCAGCTAGTTCCCGTCTCGAATAAATCAACAGAGGTCACCTGAGTGTAATATGAAGGCCGGCAGCATTGTACAATCCATCTTTCAATAAATTAGAACAGCTCAAGTCCAAACCTTCAACAAAATAGCCACCTGTTTTAACTGAGAACGCTGAAACTTTAAGGGTGATATGAAACGTGGAAGAAAAGCCAAACTTTTGGACTACATGCAAAACTCTGTGTGGTGATTAAGATTGGTGGTACCAACGATTATCGGAAGCTGGTCAAAGTTCAGGTAAAGATGGAGGTCATAAAATATAAAGTCAGACGCTGCAGAAGATTTGAAACTGGAGAGGAGTTTCTCCTACCAGCAGGAAATCTACCCTAAACACGGAGCTACAGCTACGTGAGAAGTGGTTTTGATCAGAGCATATCTGGGTCAGACTGGCCTCGTCGAAGCCAAGACCTAAATCCAAATGAGGTTGATGTATTTTGTAAAGAATGAACAAAAATTACAGTCTCTAGATGTGCGAAGCTGGTAGAAACGTACATTAAAATACTTACTGGTTTGATTCTGGGGGGTTAAAAACAAATGCAAATCAAAGCTTCCAGGATTTTATTAATATTTTTTTTAAGTCATGTACCATTTTCCTCTGGTTTTACAAATATATTCTACTTTGACTCGAACTAAAATCCCAATATATGTCTGACTACTCATTGCATATTTTAGCTTGAGACTCAGAAACAGCAGCACAAACAGTCAAGACTTAAGAAAAAAACCCAAATCTTTAATTCTTTTGAAATATTTGACATAAGAAATGTGCAACAAGCTTAAATTTTCCCCGCTCTTCCTTCGGTTACCTGCATGGCCACAAAAATCACGCTGGACGCTGATTTCAAGTATTTCCTGAAAGTGTAAAGACACAGAATCTCGTGAAGAAAATACTTTGGCTCCTGTTGACTGACTGAAATGACATCTCGTCTTTATGTGCACACAACCACCTTCTTTACGTTAAGTGCTAAAGCCAATGTAATGTTTTGTAAACTGTCAGTCTGGAATATTATCTACAGAGAAAAATAATGGTGACCAATAAAAATTCAACTTAACTACCAGCTTCTGAAGTTCACCTCATTATACAATATTTAAAATTAAAGTCAAAGCTCCATAATGTTACTTTTTCATTTCAATTCAAGCATATATAAATAAAAATGATTATTGAAGCCTTTGTAAATTATATAATGGTGATATAATTGTATAAACATGAAGGAAAAATAGGTCTGGACATCATTCTAACAGGAAATTGAATGGATTCACTTCATAAACTGGCAGCAATTAAATCATAATTGTCCTTATGAACAATTCTGATGTAAAAACTTGTGAAATCAAAAAAATATTTACTAGTGTTAATTCTAGTCTGCAAACTCTTTGGTAGCACATGGACAGTTTCTATTACAGTCTATTTGCCAACATTATATTTAAGGCACCTTCTGAAGACAATGGATTACTTGTTAGTCTTTTCTTTCAAGTGTTGCTGAAATATGTCGTCCTTCATATTTGAAAAAGAAAATTTTCTTGCAAGACTGTCAACAGTACACAAATATGACTTCTTTTATTTACAATATAATGATGTAAACCTTAGCTTAATTCGATATTTTCAACAGTGAAAGTGCTGGAGCTCTCTAAAAACAACCATAACCTGGAGAAGCGAACATTCAGTAGCTTTTAAAGTAGTAATATGTGTCGAGGCTCATTCAGGCAAGAAGAGTGGATCTGCTGTGTTGTGTGTGTGTGTGTGTGTGTGTGTGTGTGTGTGTGTGTGTGTGTGTGTGTGTGTGTGTGTGTGTGTGTGTGTGTGTGTGTGTGTGTGTGTGTGTGTGTGTGTGTGCTCCTGCATGGTTTAAAGAACATCTTAGGACAAACATACACAGGGGTGCAACTTTGGCATCAAACGTTAAAAACAATGAAATGTTCGGTGATGGAGGAGTGATGAAACAGTCAGTTATTTTCCCAGTTCCCTTTTTGTTGCTTCCACAGAGGTGTAAGCAGGTACTGAGCTGCATTTCGGTTTTCATTTCCTCATCAGAGCGTCCGTAGATTGTCTGGAACTGAAGTAGTCACAAAAGATCATCTTCCCCTTTTTTTAATACCAGCAGCTCTGATCCATACACAGGAATTTGCTTCTTTTTTTTTTTTTTTTTTTTTGAGCAGATGAAACAAAATGGACAATCTGGGTGAAGAAAACACATGATGGTGATGGCAGGGATCCGGCGGTCCCGTCACAGTGTCTGAGTGAGGATGATAATGAGGATGACGACTACAACCACTGCACAGCACACACCGATGAAGATCATCTTCTACAGAAGGGGAGAGACAGAGACACAATGAGGGGAGAGTTAGAGACAGAGAGCAGGAGCATTTAAATCCCCTGCAGGTCAAACCAACTCACCACTAACACCAAGTCATTTAACAGGGAGCAGAAATGCTAACACACGCACACACACTCACACACACACACACACACGCACACACACACATCAAATAATCTCCCAGGACAGACAAAAACACACTCATTCAAGTCTAAAAGAAACCTCTTTTCCAAAGCAAGCCTTATTCCCAAATGTTACAGCACTACACTGAAGGTTTTCTCCAAAATTACTCACCAACATCTCTTCTTTTAGTCAAACAGCTCCTCATTTTTTCAGTCCTACTGACAACCCGATTATGAGAGCTAGCAATGCCAGTAAGATCACCACAACCACCACTATAATCACAGTTTTCTGTTGGGAATAACCAAGTACACACATTCTGGTCAGATCCAAGTCTCAGTTGGAAAATTATTTAAAAACAAAAAACAAAACAAAAAAGTAGACAATGTGCCACAAAGCTGGAAGCTGTGGAAAAACAAATCTGTACAGTTATGTTCACCTACACGAATGCTTGTGCAGGTAAAAGCAAACAGTAACTTCAGCATCAACAGACGAGCATTTTAGCCATGTTCAAAAACATCAGCAAGGTTAAAGATGAATGAAAAGCGGGAAAAGCCGAAGCGAGAAAACAAGCAGTGTGTGTGAGTGACGGTGTGTGTGTTTCAGTGGGTGGGAGGAGGATCATCTTGGTTCTGGTTTCAAGTCACAGCAGTGGTTTTAATCACAGGGCTCCACACGACACAGAGTTTAGAAATGAGTCACAGAGGGTTGAGGGTCGTCACAAATTCTGAAATGAGTGTGGCTTCCCAAAAGCATCGAGGTGTTCATTTAGTCAACATGTATTTGCTCTTCTCTGGGAATCCTATCAAATTTAGCTGGTGTTTAAAAAGTGAGATTTAAAAGTTAAAATACATTTATTTTTTAAGATGTTCGATAATAAAGCAACTTCTGCTGCTTTATTATCGAACAGAAATGGCAAACCTTAGCTGACAATTTGGAAAATAGTTTATTTGTGGAAATTGATGTACAATTTTAGTAACTTAAAAACTGTTCAATTTAAAAAGAAATAAAGGTTCAACATAACACCAGTAAAACTAAACTACATCAAATCACTTTCTTCAGAGCTTCCAGGTTTAGCTGTACTGCTCATTAACATCGACAGAAATAAACAGCATGCTAATCTAATGCAGTTTTATTATAAGAAAAAACTGACGTAAATAAACTAGATTAAAATAGTTTTATGCTCCAACAGCTGCAGCTTGATTTCAGTAAGAAGTTTAGAAAGGTTTATGTTTAACATGCAACGTGTGCACTTTTAATTTAATCTCTAGTTTTTTACATAAACATAAAATACATCTTAAAGACTTCAAATATCTTCTTGCTGACAGTAAAGTTTGCTAGATATTAGGACAAGAAACCGGTTACCATGACATGTTGACGCAGATTTGAAACGTACTGTTTTTCTTTGATGCTCGTGGACATCGAATGGCTTTATTTGATTTTTTTTTTTTAGAAAGTTGACTCCTCTCGTAAATAAGCTCAAATGTTTCGGGTGCTTTTAGGAAGCCAGAGTTGCAGTTCTTGCCCACAGCCACTCACACGGCGAGCCTCTTGCTGAAACTTGGCAGCTTTCTTAGTATCTGCAACAGCTCTCTCCACAAAGCCCACCGACTGGTCCATGTTGCTCTCAATCCTGTCAATCATCCCGCCCTGACAGGCACGCAGCCGGAGGCAGCAGCAGAAGGAAACAAGTGACAGCAGAGAGGAGGAAACATGCAGCGAGCTTACACATTATCCTAACGGTTGTGTGTGAGTGGTAATGGCAGTGTGAGGCAAACAGAAGAGCGATATGCAGGGCATGCAAAGTGGATAAAATGTGTTAAACTGGGAAAAAGTGCTAGAGTGACTGAAATAAAAAAAAAAAAAAAAAAAAAAGCAGCAACAGGAAAAGGTCATGCTAGTGCGATAGATTGCAAAACACTTTACCTTGCGGGCCTTGGTCTGGTACCTTCCAGCTCTTCCGATCTCATCCTTCGCCTTAATAATGTAATTCTCCGACTGGGATACATTCTGCTCTATGTTGTCAACTATTTCCCCCTGAGAAAAACAAAACAAAAGACAACACATGAACATATATTTTGATATCTATCAAGCAAACATGTGGTCACAAGTTTTGGCATTGACACTTCTGTGTTTTGCAAACTGTGCAGCTTCAGTTTTTTTTTTTTTTTGTGATGAAAGATCAAAAATGTTTTTAGAGTTCTGCAAAGCAAGATTATGCAGGATACGCTCAGGTAAAGATGTGAAAGACTACAGCTGGAATCACCAGCAATCTAATCTCAAACCTAAAATATCTCCTCTTGAAGAGCGACCTAAAAACTTGTTGTCACCAATGAAGAGCTTGCTCAAAACTGGCAGCAGGTGTGTGTGCATGCATAAGCACAGAGAGAGGCAAAGCGGTGTTAAACACGGCTACTGTGAAGAGAACAGCAAAGAAACCCAGCAAAGAATTTAGTTCTTTTTTTGAAAATGACTGCTTATAACTTGAAAGGTATAATTAATGCATTGGACGCATCTTGACTGATGTAAATTGAAATCAGGCGACTCTTTCTCTTTCCCCAATTCAATTTGCAGCAAATAATGAGCTTGCTGAAGTAAAATCAGTCCTAATTGTACTGTTTCACACTAAAATTACTTTCACCGTTTTTTAAAAAAGAGATAATTTTGCCAATCTAAAAAAAGTTAATAGTTTTTACTTCTGATTTTTGATTTAAACATTTTCTAAACATATAATGTCATTGAGACAAGGTAAATTCAGTTCTTTTAGTTAGATGAAAAAAAGAACTGAATGTAATGAAGAATGTAATCTGATTATTCGATACTTTGTTTAGAAGAGTTAAAATGTCAATAAAATACAGGCAAAATAAATTATTACAGGTTAGGTTAAGGTTATTGTAATTATTACAGTCACTTTTCATGCATTATGCTCTCTGCTACTTTTAGAAAAAATATGCATTTATAACTTTGTAAAGCATGTTTACACACCATTTTCATAAGCTACAGTCCTTCTGATACGACTGCCAATCTGTACAGACTAAAAAAAATAGAGAAGTAATACTGAGGTGTTTGGATCTGAATGTGGTAGTGATGGCATCTAAAGAGTCTTTCATTTTCCCTGTTACCACATGCATGCGCAGTATGAGACATTGCTGGCAAATGAATGATGTTACGCAATCCACCGTCCTCCGTCGCTACATGTTGGCTCAGGAGGGACGGTTTGCTGCAAAGTGTGTGACTCAATGCAATTCACCGGTTTCCTTCAACAGCTTTTTTAATAAAACACATGAAGTGTACTTGAAATTTAATTGAAATTGAAGTAATTTAAAATATTTATCAGGGATTTTAACTTCATATCCCTTTAGAAACAAGTGGTAACGTCGGTGATTTATTTATTCGAGAGCAAAATCTTTTCAAATTCCAAACGTGGACATAAATAACAGAAAAAAAAAGGCAACACAAAGAGTGCAATGCAAGGACTCTTACCTCAAACAACCATTTCCCTCAGAAAGCATGGCGGTGTAAGCAGCACAAAACAGTTGGTCATACTCTGGTAGTTTAATTATAGCATTAGCTAAATCTCTTAAAACCCAGTTTGTGATGAATTAGGAGTGAATGATGCTTGGTTCATATCTTACTAAATTTATTAAGGTTCCATGAAGGGAATGAGATGAAGGTGGTGGTGGCAGAGGACAGGTGTAAGAAAAGCACGGAGCTGGAAAAAAGACAGACAGACAGACAGATGTGGAACGACAGTCATAGTACAGCAGAGGAAGAAAGAGGAAGACAGAATCATGACTGATCGCTGTAACACAGTAAAGATGAGCTGAAAGAATGAATGGATGGATTTGAATGAAGCAACAAGAAGGTGATGTCCAGACGAGTGTACCTGGCTCTCCACAAGCATGGCGATGTCTACAAACATGTCATGCAGCTCTTTGATGCTACTTTCCAGACGGACAATATCTTTATGCCTGCATTCAATCTCACTCAGAGCTTGTTTTGAGATCCCAGAGTCCACAATCTGTAAAGACGAGCAGTTCACTGTGACCGTGCAGGCTCAAAACAGACAGCAAATAAATGTCAACATTTACTCATCAAGTATGAATCCAAGGTTTTTTTTGTTTTTTTTTTCTTGAATGTTAATATCAAAAGAAATTTCCAAATGTCTTAAATTGAGAAGCACAATGGTTCTTGTGTTGCTTTTTAATAAATCAAATGTCCTGAAAATGTCCTGTAATTTTCCAATTATTGCTTTTATTGCAACTGTTTGATAGTTTCATATGAGTTACTGAGAACCTCAGGTGTGCATTTACATGATAGTAATAAGATATAGTAATAATAACTTATGCAAAGACTGGTTTGGTCCAGTCTTTGCACATTAGGGAATCCTAAGCTGAACTCTGTGTCCTTGAACAAGAAATTCCTCCTTAATTGTGCTGAAAACAAGCTCCTCTTGATCAAAAAGCTTGAACAGAAGCTGAAGTGCAACATGTTCTCATTTTATCAGTGACACATTGCAATCGAAGCTACATGATTCAGAGCTCCCAGTCACTGTTTTCTTTTTCTAGAAGCCTCCCTACAGCTGTTTTATCTGTTCGCTGAGACGTCACGAACAAGCCTCACTCCTTTTCTTGAATCTTTATGTTTTGGTTATTAAATGCATAAAATTATCATCCAGCTGTGCATCAACTGGCACCACTAAGACATTTTGTTTTAATGCTAGTAGATATCACTGAGAAAAACATTGAGAACAGTTTATATATTTATTATGAACACTTAAATGTTTTGAGTAGATATTATATTCTAGAACCTGAAGAAAGACAAAGTTCCTTTCATCCAAACTTCAGAAATCTAAAAATTAGCAAATAAAGGGCTTTTATTTTATTTTTTTTTTAACAGAAAAACCAATTTTATTTGCATTTTAATCACATGACTGTAGAAAGCTGTTAAAACAGTGGACATAATTGCTCGTTTACACACAAGACACACTCACCCCAGCAGTGAAAACGGCAGCATTTCCACTTTCCAACATCTCCTCCAGTTCGTCATCTGTCTTCGCTTGTCCAGCTGGACAGAGCAAAGTGAAACACACAGATTATTATGGGATTATTCTATACTTTGTTTCTGCGCTTGTAGGTGTAACTTACTTATCTCAAGCTGTCTCTGAATACGTCCTTTACTCCTCTCCCTAAAGTCCACCTGAGCTTCATTATACTTTGTCATCACCTCAACAAACTTCCTGGACAGCACTGCATGCTGGGAGGACAGAATGGTTGCAAATTATGATCACAAATCTTTCTCAGCATCCTGGAAACAGCTGTACAATGTTTACTTTTCAGGGGGTGGGAGTCTAACTTTATATGCTGAAATATCTGACTACATTAAACCCTATGAAACAATTAAATTTGAATTAAAAATCCCTTTATAAAAGTTTTAAAACTATCTGAAATCTGAAAATTCTTCATCCTGCGCACAATTTACCTGTGATTTACGTATCCGCATATCCGCCGACACCCTCTCCTGCTGCTCCGACTCCAGATTTCTCTCGATGGCTGGAAAACAGAGCAACGTTCAAATTAACATCATAAACACATCATCCAACATTTACATCAAATTCAGGAAAAGTTTGACTCATTCTGACAAGAGGAAGTGTGATTGTCACTGCCAGACTTACTCTTGAGTTTGTTTCTTGCATTGTTGGCCATCTTCTTTATGTCATTGGTGATTGATTCCAAGTCATCCTGCGTTTCTGAGAAGAGGAAAAAATGTGTCTTAAACCAGGAATGTTCAGATAGAAATAAAGTTTTTTTTTTAAAAGATGAGGTATGCAGAGAAAATGAGAATGCTTCATATTCTGTCACACTCGGTGTGCGTTTTTCTGCTCAGAATGGAATACAGTTTAAAATAAAAAGAGCAAATAAATAAAAAAATGTAAATAATAAAAAAAAAAACTACAGTAACCTTATTTTTGTGATCCAGGTTCAACTGGGTATGTTTTCATAAAAGAAAAACTAGGCAAAAAAATATAGTAAATCAGTTAAAGGTGAGATGTCTCACTCTGATCCGACGTGGGAGCCGACAGGATGACCGAGTAAAGCTTTTTGACTTCAACCACGTTCTCGTCAATTTTATCAATACTGTTCCTGATGTCTTCAATCTGCAAACAGACAGACAGGTCACAATTGACAAAAGAAAATACGTACGATATGTTGGGTCTCGGCACGACAACAATCGTGAGCATAAAACCTGACCTGAGAGAAGAACTCGTCCATGAAGGCTGCGTTGTCCACAGCGATCTCCACCTCCTCATCATCTTGATCACAAGTCTGACATTTGAAAGCAAGTAAGGTAATTAGTTCCCAATAATGTGAGAAAGTCATCAGGAACTGCAAAATTGTTGAGCCTTTTAGCCTAAAAACAACAAAAATGTCTTTCCAATTTAAGCATTTTAAATTGGAAAAAAACTAAGTCAATAAACAGTTTAAAACTATAAATCTGAAACTGAAACGGGGTTTGAAACAAGAAAAGAAAAAAGGTCAAAACATTTTACAGGATTTGAGGTTTTTTTTTTTTATTTTTTTCCCAATATTGTGCCTTTTTTCAGTTTCAAAAATTGTTTTCCAGTTTCAAATCTTTTATTTAAGTCAGTTTTAGGCTCTAAAAAATTCCAACAATGCGTGGCTGGGAGAGTCTTTGCTGAAGAGGACTCTTTAATCCCATCCATGGGACAAATCTAGTCTGCTTGAATACTCTACCTTTTTCGCCACCAGTTAAACCACATGTACATGATCAGGTTGAAGATGAAAAGTTCTAACCAACATGGTTGATCAACTTCCTCTGAACTGCTGTTTAGAAGTCAAATTAACCTCCATGTGTGACACCTACTGCAAAGTAAACCAGATATTTACATACATCATATAAAAATAAGCTTTCCTCCACCACTGTTTGGTAGTAATTCAGTTCAAACTTCCCTGTTTTAGGCCAGTTAGGATGAGCTGAATAATAACTATGTCCTGAATACTAAAATAATAAATTTTTTAACTTGTGATTATTATTTTCCTCAAAGTTTTTTTTTTACAATCCAGATGCCAGAATGTGTTAATGATGTGGTCAAACAAAAATCCCACTATGGAAATGTCCAGCGATCACACCATTCAGGAACGAGCTGGATGTGTCTCAGACTAACCCAGAGGTTGACGTGTTTCGGTGTGAGCTTTGCATATCTCCGCAAACACAAAAGTGTGTCATGAGAAAATGTGAAATGAATTCTGTGAAACTCAGGGAGAGGAAACCCAAAAAATGGGAGACCCGAGTCAGTTTAAAAGCCAGTTCTATCAAATACAAATGAAATTTATAGTATGTAAACACCTGACTTCAGATGCATAAAAGTAGCTTGCAAAAGTTGAGAGTTAATATCAGACACTACTGGAAAAGGTAATTTGTCATTTTCTAAGCTGTAAAAAAATATATTTGGTTCAAGTATGTGTCAGTTCCAGTGTTTTTAATACATGGTTTCCCTTTTGCTGTGAGGGACTTTTTGCTTGATTATACATACTTTACTGGTTATATATTGATTTGTTCTGTTTGAGTGCGTCTGTTTGTGTGTAGGATAGGAGGTGTGATATAATGACAAAGTTCCTAAAGTTAATGTTCTGATGTCTACCAAGAAAATATTAATAAAATTACATTTAAAAAAACCCCAACTGTATTTCACTTAAACATTTGCCATATGGGCATTTACAAGTTCAAGTAGATTTCTTGAAGTCAGTTAAATACATTTTCAATATGACAAATTTGAGCCAATATTTTACTCAGAGACACTCCATGCCATTATTCAGATGTTGTGGAAAATCTGGAGCACAAAGGAAGGTTTTAGTCCTTCAACTCCCACCTAAAGACCACAGTATACTAATAAAACCGCTTCATTGTTTGGTAGCATGACACATCAAGCTGGGATACTCCTCATCCAAACCAGACCACACCCTATATATTTATTAGACAGCTTTACTTCCAAGAAATTAAATAACAAATAACGTCACTGGGATAAGTTGGCAAACACAGTCAGGTGCAACTGGATGTTTACACTTGCCTCCAGCTGGCATTAAAAACCAAAATGAAAGAGTAAACACGTCAGGTTCGCCTTCTGACAGCGTCAAGCTAAGGGATAAAAAATTGTACCAGTTCATTTGTTTCTTCCTTTATAATCTCTTCCAACTTTTCCAATCAAACAACATTTTTATGACACCCACGCGAAGCATTTGGTTGGTGATCTTTATGCGAGTCAGGTCGTGTGAGTAATGTGTAACCAAGTCCGAACTCTTCAGGTGTGACAGTCAGGTGTGTGTAGCCGGGTCAAAGTCAAAGTATGGAAAAAGTCAGGCGTCACAGCTGTTGGTTTCCCTGCAATCATATCATCCAACTCCGTCATGATCCAAATAAACAGTGTGAACACATGCCATTTGAAATGTTTACATTTTTCCAAGTTAATGCCACAAGCCTGAATTAATTGAATTTCACAACAGACCAATACATGACATGATTTACAAAATTTTCTATAAAAAGAGAAAAGCTGAAGTATTTGCATGCATTCATCTTTAAATTTTTCCAATAGCCATATATAAGATCTAGTGCCACAATGAACAATCATGTTCCTCAAAATCTGACTTAAGAAAGGATGGCAAAAAAACACCCATAAGGATTCTCATGTAACTGTGCTAACTATCAATTCTCGCTACACTTTTCAGATTTGATCAGTAAAAACTTCTTCCACTTTACAATCATACACTATTTCATGTTGGCATATGAAATAAAGTGCCCACAAAATACAGTGAAACTAAAAATGGAGTATGAAAACCTTTGCAAGGGAGCAAATAGCAAAGATAAGCTCTGAACAAAAGTTGTGACGTTTAACTTACAGAATAACATTAACCTGTAATTTAAGTGTTTATACTAACATCTCCCCCTAATTTGATTGTTACTTGGACTATTTTTTTAACTGAAGCACAGCTTTTTTCTTCCACCAGTTCAAAAACCTGTCCTCTTTTTTTTCCAGCACTTCATCCAAGTTCGACTTTAACTTACACACGCCTTCAAAATTTGAATTGCAAATGTTTTCCTGGACTATTTGTTTCACTCTGTCACGACTAACAATTGTGAAGAGAATTCCCTGAATATGTATCCACATAGTTCTTATGTGACTCAGTCATGTGATTTTTCATCAAAAGCAAAGTTTGGCCTCACACATTACAACCTCTCTGACACACAGCGCTTCTGCAGCGATGAGACGATAACAAGAGCTCACTTCCTTCCACCGGCCTGTTCAGCAGAAACAGGAGGAAAGGAGGTTGATCTGTGCAACACGCCCCCCCCCCACACACACACACACACACACACAGCTGGACGCTTTCTGTGCAGGATCACCTCAGAAACCAGCAGGAACAATCAGAGGAAGAGGGGTTATCCAGGTCAAACAGAGAGTTTTTGACGCAGTCACAGGCTCACATAATATATTCGTTTCTGCAGTCAGAAAAGACACTGAAACACTTTGAACACTCAGAAACTAAGAACACATCAGATAATGTCACATGACGGTTTCTGTTCTGAACATTTTGAAGTGCTTGAAACATTTGTCTTTTAGAAAAGATGAACATAAAAACTACACTGACAGAAGACCTGTGAGCTGAAATACAGATACAGCGAGTCACACTGGAGCAAATGAGATTTTGATCTAAACCAAGAAACTGTAATCTCCTACTGAACATTGCATCATCATGAGAGTGAAGTGAACATGAAGCTTAAAAAAAGGCACAAAACACAAATGAACGTGGAAGTGGGAAGACTGGTTTGTTCCTTTAATGCAAAACATCACTACACTCACAAAGTGTCCATATGTCATGTTGCATAAATCCCTCCCAACACCAAGGCGATGCCTGAAAAGGTTTGCTTACAGGTTTTACATTTAAGCAAACACAGCGAACCTTGGCCTCAGAAACCAGTGGTGCTACCTGTCCATCACAGCAGTTTTACAGTAAAAGTGACGGAGGGCTAGCTGCTTCATTATTTCTAAAAGAAAACAAAAATAAGTCAAATGAATCCAACAGTATAGGAATCACAACATCATATATATTTATCCATTAAATAGAAAATGTGCAAAGCAACAGCTTTTTATCTGAGCGAAACGAGAATTTTGTTGGATTCCGATCTCTAATCAATTGATCAGTTTGTCTCTAATTCTGAAGTCGACCCAAAAGGTCCAAGCAGTCAGAGTCAATTTGTTCTTAACTACTGTTTTATTTATTGTACTTTTACTAGAACTGCACAATCAAATCACAGCAGCCACCAAGATATCAACGTGTGCAATACTGTAATCGCAAAAGACTGTTTGGCTTTGGCAGGAAATTATTTATAAAGTTCCACACATATGCCAGTTTTGCAGGCCAATAATGCTTTTAACCAGTTGTGCAGACATTTTTGATTGGAAAGGTCTATTTTTGGTGACTGACATGCTAAAGCTAATAAAGAGTCTAGGAAGTATTGTGGTAAAGGAAGGCCTGAGTCAGGACTATAAAAGGCATCCAGCCATAATAATACAATTGATAGTTACAGCTCAGTGGAAATTTATTTGTTCCTCAATCTTATATGCACTTTCATTGGTGCAATAAACTAAAACCTGTCTTCTGTTGAACTTGCAGTGTTTCCTCAGGTTGATGCATTAAAAGCTCTGTGATTCTGTAAAAACAGTGAAGCACAGCAGAACAGAAGGCCGTCAGTGAATCATTTACATTTAATTCAGGGCTAAAGTTCTTCTTTAAAACGATTCTCACTAATGACTCGGTTATTAACACTTTGCTGCGCTGCACGTCTCAGATGTGGGAATAACGTCACATTTCAGTTTAGCGCTTTCTGGCTGCAGTGAGACTTACTTAATTGTTGATTCAACTAGTTCCAGCAATACAAGCCAATAGCAGTAATGCATTTCTAAAGTATTTCATCAATTTGTTTGTTGATGAAATACTTGAGAAGTGCATTGCTCCTCATCTCAGTCTGTTCAATCAAACTCAAAAACTGCATTTTAGCTTAAAAAGGTAAATATCTGACTAACCTGAATGCATACAAACACCTTCAAGTTACTCAGGTGAAAAAAAGTGCAGGCTGCTCTTAACAGACTAATTTATAAAGGTTTTGCCATTGTCACAATCACACCTTTTTATGTAGAACTCATTGGGCTCATGTGCTGCAGAAGATCAGAAATGAACTCATACTCTCTGTTTAAACACAACAGAGGCTCACTACATCTAAAAACTTAAGATCACTGCAGTTTTAAAGAAGGCAACATGTTTGGAACCAGTTTGTAGTTCTGAAAAATGACCAGCAACGTAATCAGAGGGTTTTTATTATGTTGAATGGTTGGTATGCAGCAAGCATGAAATTTTAGTTGTGTGCAAGCAGAGCTGAAAATTGAAGGGGATCTGGACTGCTGGGTGATTTATCTGAAAATATTATCGTCTCAGGGACTAAACCAAGTTACATCTTCAACCAAAACAAAACTTTTACAAAACTTTCATTTCAAATTTCGGTAGAATTGGCGTCATGTTTGTACATTTCATTCCAATAATTTGTAGTTTTGTGCATCACCCTCGTCGTTCATAGTAGATTAGGATTAAACAGGATGTTTTTCACTTAGTTCTGTTTTTGCTTTATTAGATTGTGCCACAATATTAGTTTATGGCTGATATATCTACTGCAAGGCCGATACCTTCACTTCTTCATTGGACTATGACATAAAACAAGCTATCGGTTAGACAACGGCTAGCAATCTGACAAGAGAACATAAAGAATCTGTAACAGAGGAAGCAATGTCAGTGCTACTACAATCCATCCATTCATTAGGATTCAAGAGGGGAACCAAGACCAGCAGCCTGTTGTGTTAGTTAGAGTGTTGAATTAATGTAAAAATTTTTAGCTTTGACAGAAAACTAAATAACAGAAAGCTGTTTTCCATATCCACCCTTTGTTATGGCACACAAAGGGAAACATCCAATTCAATTATTTGAGTTTAAAATCTCCCAAGAAGCCAGGATAAGTCCAACTAAGCACCATAAAAGCTGCCATAATTCAAAGCAATTTATGTCCCACGGTTTCTTCTGGTCCCAAAAGTCTTCAAGTTTACTGAAAGTCAGGCGACTGTTAGCAGTAGCTTGGGCAAACATTTACAGTAACATAAGGCTTCGGAATGACACATATGCAGTCTTGATTACGGCCAGCAAGTTAAACACGAGGAAGGAAACTCGAGGAAGAAAAACCAAGGTGGAGCTGAGTCCGGATTAGAGGAAAAGATAAAAGGAAAGGTGGTAAATATGAGAACAACGTCGAGTCTGAGAAGGTTATGAAGCTTCGCTGAAGCATGAAACACACATTCTGCCAACTTCCCAACACATGAATGGCCTACTTAGGCTACTATCTGTACTTCCTTTCACTACTATGAGGACAGCTGTGTCAGAGGCATGCACTCCCAAGCGCAGCAGTTTTTAAAACGGCGCAAATATTTAGCTAAATGTTTTAAGAAGCCATAGCAACACACCTCACCTTGGGTTACAACAACAGGATCAAGGCCTCGGCTCTACGAGCACCAAGAGCGAGAAAAAGACTCAACATTGTTTACATCGTTCACCGCCAGACACAGAATAACTTCTTCTCTTCTAAAGGCAGATAACAGACTTTTAGGGTATCTTGTAAAAATATCTAAACTTAGCCATTCATTTCCAAGAATGTGTTTTCAAAGGTTAAATTTTTTCTACCATGAAGGCAGTTTTACTGCTGATTCGTTGCATGGCAGCAGGTGGCTTCGCATGGATTGGTAGAAGATCCTCACAGGATAATAAACTTGCGTAAAAACACCAGAGGTTTGTGGTTTTTACAAGCTTAAAACAAATGCAAAATATCGAACTGCTGTTTTATCAAAGACAAAGTAACATTTATTCCTACGGCTGCTAGAAATGTAACTCAGATTACTGGAGTTTTAATTATGTCACAGTTAACGTTGGAGAAAAAATGTAAAAGAAATACACATTGTTGTCATTCTGCTACTTATCATTACCGCAAAATACTGATTTGGTGCATTTGTTCCAGCAGTAAGACTAAAGTTGAATTTTTAAAGCAGATTTTCAGCATTTATTTTGCAAGCTGTATCTTCAACATCGATGTTAACCTCATGACGGAGCTGTGGAGTTTGCCCACCAATGTGGTCTGTGTTTGTATTGGTCAAAATTTGTTCTTCACAATTGAATTAGTCAAATCTTGTGATTGAAAAGAGAAAGAATGTGTGCCTTCTTTCAGCCAGCTGACCATCCATGTGCAGAAACAGGCAGGAGAGGGGTAGCATTGGCTTCTGCCACCTGAGAAGAACATTTTGGTGACCAAAGTTTGGTCACTCCAGCTATATGTCTGGTATCTTATGAAAAGGACTTCAAACAACTCTTTAATACATTTGACCTCCTACAAATCCAGTTTTTAGCATGTCTATCTAAAAAACTGATTGATTGGTTTTTAAAATAAATCTAAAGAACGTCAATATTTTCAAACATCTGAAGTGAAACTTCAAAACTCTGAATCTCTAAATAGTTGATAACACCTAAAAGATGAGTATAATCTCATATATAAGAGTACGATTGTCAATTACACACTGATTTAGGACAGAAATACTTAGTAAAACCAGATCTTAAGATTATTGAAAATTGTGATGTCATTAACCGACAGTTTCAACATAACTCCCTTATCATCCTCAAGATGTACCCAGAAGGATTCCTTTGCATTAGCATCTATGCCACTAACATCTATATCAGGAGTAGGAATAAAGTGAATAAATAAGTGAAAGACAGTGAGCATAGTATGCATGGTCCCGATAGCAGTCACTGTCACACTGAAACTGAATAAAATCATGTTAAAGTGTTAAGTATTATTGAATAGGTAGGGTTTCCCCTTAGCCAGCTCCAATTTTCTAAATTTTTAAAGATAATTCCCATAGCCCCGTTCATTAAACCTGTCAAAACCAAGAACTCACAACATGTCTGCTCTTTAAATGTCTTAACCAACCTTAGAGTACGTTTTGAGTAAATCAAATAAAGTTTACATACTTGTTCTGAGGCATAAAGGGGATTCAAACATGTAAGCGATAAGAACAAATCTGAATCTAAGGAATCGGTATTGGCATCAAAAATAGTCTGATCAGTGCAATAACTGAAAAGACACACTTTGACGTTTTACCATTGAGATCAAAATAAATTAAAACATCACAATTGATCACCAACTAATCTTTTCAAGTCGAACACATTTGACACAATGACTTAAATGATGCTGATCCTTTACCCAACACCAGGATATTAAATTCACACATAAGCTTCAGTTTTACTGCCATCTATCATCAGTTGTCATCTCATGGCCGGATATGTCAAGAAAATGTGTTTCCTTTCACTCAAATAGTTTGTCAATTCAGTGTCTTCTAACGATTTAAACATTCTCCCAATTAAAATGTGGTTTTTAAGTGTATACACGATGACAGAGGTGGACAAAAAACACATTTCCTGGACATTACTCACCGCTTTCAGCTGTTCCAATCGGTCTTTCATTATTAGTTGTGTAATATAACAGTTCCAGTACAAAAAGACAACACCAGTGTTGCACCAAACTGGTTGGAAAACTATTCCCAGCGCCTGGATTCCTCAGCCAGCTGCAGAGCTAGCTGTGCAGCAGAAACCCAACAACCTGTGAAAGGAAATTTAAAACTCCCCCAAAACTCCTGCAAAGTCTCGGAGGAGTGGAGTTTTTTTTTTTTTTTCCCTGAAAATTGGAGTCTTCCCGTCGCTTTTCCATACAATATGGCTGCTGGGTTTAAAGGCTGGGGTTTTTCTTGCTAAATCTCTTCTTCCAGGGGATTAAAACAACAGTTGTGTGGAGCCGTATAATCTGCCTCTGCGCTGCCCACCACTAATCATTCTGAAACGCACTTTTCTAGCTCACGCATGCGCAAACAAAGTCCTTCTTCACTTGAACAAAGCCACGCCCTGAGCCACCTGCACTGCTGATGCGTTTCGGTGCTGTGGGAATAATAGCGTTGAACGACTCCTTCTTGGGAAACAGTAAGTGTTTGACACTGTTTGTGAACATCAGAGGATATGGAAAAAGCATCAGATTAAGAATATCATACATCTAAATAAAATTACAGCATTTAAAAGCCATGTTGTGATTTTACTAATCTTAGAGTATCTTAAATTTTGTTCGTTGTACGCAGAACTTGTTCGCCTTTTGCCACACTGTAACAAGAAATGGTGATGGGATTTTTACATTTTGTTTTTATTTTATTTTGTTTGTAGTCTGTCAAGGGCAAAGATTAGAAATTGACCATAAAATCTAGGTTTCTAATACATGAAGATGCTTTATCAAAACTAGAGCATCTTCATGTACACAACCTCTCAAGCTACTTGAAGTCTTTTTGAGGTCACTGTCCTACACAGTGAACCCTCTGGCTCGGTTTCAAATTCTTTTGCATTTGGGATTTTTTTTTTTTTGACAGCACCTTTACTCTTGCTACGCTTTACTGCAAAAAAACTGTTTTGTGGGTTGCTTGGGTAATTGTCCTGTTTCACATCAGCTACAAATGCACCACTGGTCTCCTGGTTGCTTCTCGGATTAATCCTGACCTGTCCTTGGTCTTTCATGATGCTGTTTGTTAACAAATGTTCTCTAACAAACCTCCATGACACATAACAGCTGAAATGTAAAAGGCTGTTTTATATTTAAATTACAATAACATGATAAAAGTTCAAAAAGCACAAATATTCTCGCAAGGTACTGTAGTTAATTTAAAGTAGCCGTTTCCAAAAGTTGAGTAGCAGTCCCACTGTGGATGGCAAAACACTATATGGAAAGTCCTGGGGCAATATTTGAAGTCTTTCAAAATAAGAAAGTCTTCAAAAGATTAGAATGAAATTTATGTAGGTATAATATTTCAACAATGTTAACATATGCAGAATTAAGGTCACTGGTTAATTTGTGATTGCTAACTAGAGAACATAATTTCATATAAAATGAGGAGATTAGCTAAACTGGAGCAATTTGTCTCACTAATGAAGGAATATATTCCTCCTCAACAACATGAATTCAGAGGGGAATAAAAATAAGCCAACTAAACTAGATCAAAGCCGTGCAACACTCCAGATTCCTTTGGTCTTCTCTTGAACAACAGAGGAGAAATACCACAAAGATCAGCCTTAATGTCTTGAGATAGCTTAGATCTTCCAACATTTTCAGCAACATGATTGTGGTGAACAGTGGAACTTGCTGCAGCAATGTCCCAGCAGATGGGGTTTATTAAAACCCTCAGGCCTCATGGGAGAATGAACAAACATCACAAGATACAGCTGTATTCAGTCGTTGTATTCTTCAGTTGCAATAAACACTAAAGATCATTTTCATTCATAGTAATTACATTTGACAAGAATCAAATATATACTTTTGCATCTGTGAACCCATTTTTTTGTAAATTACCGGCCCATTCACTTTGTTTTAACTTTTCTACTCAAGTTGAAAAATCTTTATTGGATTCCCATATCAATAACTTCTATCTACACACAGACTATCATTTTATTATGACCATTAAACTTATAATGTGCCTTCAGTGTTTGATTATAAGTAAGTCATTGATATCTTGTCAATAAATATTTAAATCAAATATCACAATTTACATTACAGTATATAGACAATAACTGATTGTGATGTTATAAAAATATTGCCTTCATTGAAAGTAAAAACCTGAATGTAAAAACAAGATTGTAAAAGAATTGTTTGTTTTTTTTCCCAGTCTTTTTTATTTACAGTCAGTAATTCTGCAAAAACCAAAGCGTAGAGGATGCAACCTGATTTTCGGTATTTTTTAGTGTCACCTGAACGCACCACTCATAGTTTCCAGACAAGTATCGATGCAGTAACAATAATACAACACCGTACCGCCATGTGACGCAAGGCTCATTTAAAAAGGCTTCTGGTTTCAAAATAAGATAAGAAACCAAACTGCACAACACGATCATGTTTTTCTTATTAAAACGTGATTGCGTTAGATGGACAACAAACTGCTTTAGGGTCTCACTCAGTGAATTGAGTAAAACCGGTTACACGGTGTTCAACATCCGTCTCCGTGGAAGACAATACACGTCACATTGAATGTGATCAGTCAAACTGTTACGTAATTCATTATAAGGGTTCAATGCGCAACGGAAAAAACCCCCAAGGATGCCAGTGACACCTAGTGGAGAGAAAAGTGAAACATCACTACTGTTAAAACCCAGAAACCAAACCGGTTGTGGAAAAAAACAAAAAACCATTTATTTCAGCTACAATTTCCCCATTCTGAATCATCTTTAAAGCAACACCACATCTTTTACAGCAAAATATAATATTTCTCTGTGGATTTAAAGGTAGAAGTTTATGCAAGCAAATTGTGTATTGCATTTTCAACAGTGAGGTCATTTTGGATACATTTGAGTTTCATACACATATAAAAGGGACTAATTTATGAGCACTGAAAACTGCTCACTATGTGGTTATTCCCTGGCACTGAAGTATGTAAACATGCAAGTATAACTTGCAAGCACAGCTCCTTTCTTTCCAAGTACGTCTTTGAAAAGCCTTTGTCCCCACAAAAACAACTGAGCAGTGTTCTCTGAGAACACAGTATGGAGTGAAGAGGAAGGGCTGAAATGGGATTCAGCCTGTTGAACAAACTAAATATCATGCCTTCATTTGCCCAAACAGAGTACAACTGAAATAACTTTTGCATAAATTTTCCTTTGGATATTCTAGGTCTGTGATCATATCTAAAATGACTGAGGCAAGGCAATTATGTTATACTGAGAATGTTTTTATTCAAAGTTTATTCCCCTTAGTGCTTCCAGTACACCGTACAACAGCATTATGTGAGCTGGATATGTGCAGCGGAGGAGGGTGCTTGACGACGAAGAGAGCAGCATGTTGCCATGCCAAACAACACTAGGGAGGGTGTGTCATACAGTGAAATTAGAACCACAACTTTTGCACCAAGTTTTTTCTCTTAAGTTTTAAAACGAAAAATTCAAAAATAAAAAATCTGAAAAGGGATTTTACAGTAAAGGGGGAAAAAACTCAAACTTCCTGTCCACAGCCGGGGAGGGGTGAAGGGAGGGAAATCAGAAAACAGGTTAGAGGTCATCTTCTTCATCTGGGAGCGCTGTCTGTGATGCAACCTGGAAAACGAAAGTTAGTTTTAGCTTCAGGTTGGAATGGCTTTGACGAGCTACAAACGATCAAATTTGCATCACAAAAAACACATTTAAGACTTACTTGAAGCTCTTCCTCATACTTGGCGGCAAGGGACGGGTCCATCTGGACCTCTGGGGGAGCCAGGGCTGGCATAGCCACAAACTCCAAGTTGGGATCACCGATCAACTTCCTCGCTAGCCACAGGAAGGGCTTCTCGAAGTTGTAGTTACTTTTGGCAGAAATGTCATAGTACTATGGAGAGAGTACCCACAAAAGACAGACTTAGACCCAATAACCACTCAACAAACTCTGAACGAAAACAGGAAAGCATTCATCACCTGCAGGTTCTTCTTGCGGTGAAACACGATGCTCTTGGCTTTGACTTTCCTGTCTTTGATGTCTACCTTGTTGCCACACAGAACGATGGGAATGTTCTCGCACACACGGACCAGGTCACGATGCCAGTTGGGCACATTCTTGTAGGTGACTCGGGAGGTGACATCAAACATGATGATCGCACACTGGGCTGTTAAGAAATAAAAAAAGATCAAGATGACGCACTACACAAAGAAAGAGGCCAGCCTAACTGCATCCAAGCTGTTTTAGGGGTGGTTTGGTACCTTGGATATAGTAACCATCTCTCAAGCCTCCGAACTTCTCCTGACCGGCCGTGTCCCACACGTTATACTTGATGGGTCCTCTGTTGGTGTGGAACATCAGCGGGTGCACTTCTACTCCCAGAGTAGCTATAAATGAAGACGAGTTGTATGAGAAACTTGAAACATTTTCAGGATTTGGCATGTGTGCATATTTCAAAGCCTGTATAGATAAAACAAGTCTGGCTTAATGAAGCAACTCAATGTGCAGCTCTATTTCAGAGGGAAGAGGTTCATTTTTTTTCCACCAGGTCTTGAATATTGCCTTCGATATTCAAGCTTTGCTGGGGGATAACCGATCTGTTTTACCAAGCCTTCAAACTCATATGAAGAGATTTGTAGAATATTTTCTGCCCATTTGCACCATCTTCAACTGAGTTTTATGTATTTAAAATTTGTAAGTCCAATTTTCTCCCATTTTGATTCATTTTTAAATTTAAGGATCTTAAATCTGGCTTAGAAAATAGTCAAATTTAGTGACATTTACTTCATAAATCCATCTTAATATTTTAGCAGGTCATTGTTATAATAAAACCTTTTGCCTCCTTAAGACCTTAAAGTAATTGTTTTATTCTTAATAACTTGTAAGAGCAACTGTGAACATGGGAAAGTCTAGATCTTTTATTTCCAGACATGAAACAGACCCTTAAGTAACTTTATATATATTTAGTGCACTAAAAGTCTAGCATTTATGTTCAAGCAGTACTGACATCACCGAGACACTTACAAGAATATTTATAAAAATACAAATGACATCACCAGACAGAAATGATCTGTATATTGTTTTCTGACTTCTTCATGTGAACTTCATGTACGAGTACTCACCAACATATTTCTTCTCAAACTCTCCTGTAATGTGTCTCTTCACAAAAGTCGTTTTTCCTGTGCCTCCATCTCCAACCAACACCAGCTGAGGGGAACAGATAGTAGTTAGTCCAAACTGGCTAGTACCGGTTCACAACTGCTAACCCATGACTGCCTCGACATCCCCATTAGAATCCCTCACCTACAGATAAATCAGAAAATAATTGCTACCATTGAGTCGAAAGCTTACCTTAAACACCGCCACAGGTACGCACTGTCCCATAGAGTCAGCCATGGTTGCGACTTTTCTGAATTGAGAAAAAACAGGGCGGGATGGTCAGTTTGCATCTTGTCCGTTATCCCCCCCAGTTGATCATGCTAGGCTAATCGCGTTAGCAGCTACCCATTTTATTTATTTTAATCGCACCTCTAAAACAATACTGAATCCATCAACAACGAGGGTTTTGGGTGGTTCGTTTAATGTTTGAGAAATCAGACTGCTACATACACAACTTCTTCTAGCATGTTCGATCCCCGCTAACGTTCCGACACGCAACAAACGCGGCGTTACGTTAACGTTAGTGCGTCTAGCCTCAAATTGTCTCAAATAACACAGCGTTCTGCACCCAAATGCGAGGCAAATATTTCAAACTTCATCTCGGATGCGTGTTTAAACATCCCCGGGTAGCTAACTAGCTTAGCAGCTAACCAACTGCTGGCGTTAGTTTAGTGCGCCATATGACGAGCGAGCGCACTTTTTCTTGTTCGAGTGGAACAATCAGCCTGAAGAAGCAGCTAATGTGTTCCACACTGCGGCTAACTTTAATCATCATCAACAGTTCACTAACTGTATCAAGACTACTGTCCAAATTCAGAATATACGTTTTGAAAAATAAATAAACGCAAATAAATGGATGCCAACAGTTATAAAGAACAAAGCAGTGTTACGAGAGATAGCCATGCATGCTAACATGTTACCATAGCATGGGCATGGAAGCCATTCTTTCATACACGCTAGCGGCTAACTTAGCTAGCAAGTAGTTAGCACACAAGACAAAAAACATCGATGGCTTGATTTAGCTTTTCGTGTGGCAACAGCCGCAACGGCTAAAGACTCCAATGAGCACCTGAAAGGTTTCGCCTGCTCTGTCTGACTTTCTGCGCAAATATAAAGTTGAAGTTTAGGCCGAGCCGCAGTGAGGAAGGAAAGTAGACTCACCGGTGTCACTACGAAGAGAGGAAAGAGTAAATGGCTGCTGCGTTCGCGGGAGATTCAGCGTGGACTATGAGTCAGTTTCCGCCCTGGTCACGTGACAATGCAGCGGCAAATACGTATGAGAAGCGTTCATTCCACACATTGTTGCTCAAGTACAAGTAAAAATCTGAAATGACTCAATTTAAAGTAAAAGGGTATTTGGTTAAAAAGCTAATGAAGTACTGAGCATGAAACACACACAAAAAAATAAAGCTATTTGAAATGTTGGTACTTCAACTGCAATAATAATGTCGTAACCACAACAATAATAATAACATTTTTAAAGTCATAAACTCATACAGAGAAACTTTTGTTCCCCAATATGAAACTAATACTGCACAATATTAGAGCAGGCAAATACAGTCTTCCAACAACAATTTATGTTTGCTCCATTTCCATATGACACAGCAGGCTTAACATATAGAAACTAATAATAAAGCAATCAAGTGTGTGTCTGAACAAATGGTCTGACTGCATTTTATTGCTATGAAGTGGATAGAATCAACAAAATAAGGAGGGAATTAGATTGTATGTAATCACATAAAAAAATGATGCGCCTGTCATGGAAAGTGCCTTGAAATGTTTGGTGTGAAGTCATACAATGAAGTAAGCTGACTTTTATGCTTGAACTCACAAGCTGCCTTTAAAAGTCATAAACATGACATAACACCTGTCACGAACATGAGTAATACATGAATATTTATGACTGTTGTCATAAACCTTTGCTTTAATAACAAAAAGCTACATAATTTTTAAAGTGTAATCAGTAATACGTTTATAACAAATTTATGTCAGATCATGATTTCTTGGTTAATGTCAATACAAAAATATTTTGAATAATGTCAACTCTGTGTTAAAAGTGTTATAATTTACCAAATGACACCTAAAAATCAATGCATCATTTCATATCATAAATTCAAACAGTCATGGTTTAAGATCTGCTTTATTCAAGTGGACTAAAAAGCTTTCATGCTTTATAATTACTGACATAAGTTTAAGTTATACAATCAAAATATATATATCACTGTGTCACAGTAATTCCTCTATAAAGACTGCAAAATTTCACATAAAACAGATTAAAAACAACACGGCTAGGCCAAAAATAATGTATTAATGGGGGTAAAAGTAAGAACTTTGCATTAGAAAACAAACTACAAAAATGTCACACTTCTGTTTTGCATCAAAGAAGTAAAAAGGGAGGCTTCTTAAATCAGGGGTATTCAAATTATTTGACACTTGGGCCAACATTGTCAACCTGTCTTTAGTTAAAAACACAAGAAACTGTGATCATTTAACAAGTAAAAACAAATATATATTTTTCACAAACTAATTGCAATATTATAATGAAACAAAAATAATATGAGTTTTGTTGGGAAAACATCTGATGTCTTAACTGTTTGCGGTCAACTGATTTCTATATTCTTTGTTTAGGAAAGAATATAGAAAGATCCCTCTTTTCCTCAAAAATGCTTGATCGACTTAGCCATATTTAATGAAACTTGCTATGAATAAGCTGGATGTTTGTCATCCTGTATAGTATGTGACTAAAATTAAAGCAAAAGGCAATGTACATAAAAGACAAATATAGAGTTTAACTTTTCCATTTTAAAAAGATTTGAACTGTCAGTGAAGACCTCGCCATAAACAAGTTTTGAAAGTGACCGTCTGCATCACTTGCTTGTGTTAATACCAGTAGTGCCATCCTTGGAATAAGGAATGTCCAATTCATTATTAAAATCTGGTAAGATGCTGATGAACTGTGACATGCTTCATAAATAAATATATATTTAAATAAATGCAATCAACCAATTAATTAGCACTTGGAAATACTCACTGTAGTCAAATTAAACGTAAAGAATGCAAAGTGGGTATTGCTCCAATTAATTGGACTAAACAGCTGCAAGAAATAAAAAATATTTAATAAAGTTAACAGTGGAAAACATCTTACATCAGCTTAATAGAAAGCAGAAGGATTATAATCTGAAACAATGGCATAAATTCACGTGGTCTAATGAGTCCAACCTGGCCCTGATTCAGAGTGATGAACGCATTATATTAAGAGGAGGAGTGAATAAGTTAATGAATCCATCATAAATAGTGTGAATCAGTTATAAAAAGGCAAGCTGACCACCCAAATGTGTTAACTGACCTTTTTTCCATAAAAAGATTATTTCTTTTCTGGTGGCAGGTATATTCTAACATAACAGTTTTAAGACTATTAATCATCATTTTCACACATGGGTGGAAATGATGTCCACCCAGGACTTAGCTCTGGCAAGAAATGTCCTTAAGACTTAATACCATCCTCCATGTAATGTCTTAAAACTTCCACTTTGTTTGAGAATAGTTTGTTATAAGCTCACCGATACATTAAAATTATGAGCCATAGTCACAGCTAAAAGTAGGTCAGTAAAATAATACAATATTTTTCACCAGGCAGTGTATAATTTGTGCGTATCTGCAGCATGGCTTCAGTGTTTACCCCTAATTCACTTTTGCCTCAGAGAGGCTCCATGTAGCTATTTCTTTTATTGCATATATATGCTGAAATGTTACTGATGATGCAGTTCATCTGTAAAGATAATCAGCCTGTATGTTGGCTGCTATCTCAGCCTCCCATCGGTCTCCATTGTTGAGCAGCTTCTCTTTGTTGTACAGCAGCTCCTCATGAGTCTCTGTAGCATATTCAAAGTTTGGCCCCTGGGGAAAGAATCAAATGAGAAAACTGACGTTCAGGGTAATATGCAGTCTATCCCTCTTAGATAACACCTCTTTTGTCAGGGGTTTGTTTGAGGCAAAACAGAAATACAAAAATACACTTTTCTCACCTCAACAATGGCGTCAACAGGACAGGCTTCCTGACAGAAACCACAATAGATGCACTTGGTCATATCGATATCATACCGTGTAGTTCTCCTGCTGCCATCAGCTCGAGTCTCAGCTTCAATAGTAATGGCCTGAGGAGAAAAACAAAATGGCCAATAGTGGAATGACCTTTTTTTTTTTCTTTTGCTGATAATTAACAGAATAGCCAGTGCTATAAAGAGAAGTCTTATAGAACTGTAATCAGTAAATTTTTGAAATTCAATGTATGACTACATTCTTGTTTACCTGAGCAGGGCAGACGGCTTCACACAGCTTACAAGCAATGCAGCGCTCCTCTCCATTGGGGTACCGGCGGAGGGCGTGCTCGCCACGAAACCGTGGTGACAGCGGACCTTTCTCAAACGGGTAGTTGATGGTAGCGGGCTCACGGAACAGGTAGCTCATGGCCATCGCCAAACCTGCAATGAATTATCACCAGAGTGAAGAAAGGATTGGTGATGACCTTAATTGATGCACTTTTTAATTTAACAATTGCATCAAAAAAGGAGAAAATCTAAGATTACAACAGCATATTTTTATGAAAAGCTCTAGAGAAACCTCTGTGGATTCATCTTTGATTGTCTGTGGCAGCAGGGCGTCCTTCCCCTCGTCGAGTCAAATTAATTAAAATTATTTTCTAATTAAAATGCATTGAGCATCTTAAGCTACGAACAGACTCAGAAGCTGTGTTCATCACTGGGTGAATATTTGCAGTGAGCAACAAATCAGCTTTCCCTACACAGTGAGCAGCTGTTTAAGTTAAATGTTGGTCTTCTCATGACATTTGATGAGAATATACAAATTTTAGCATGAATCGGGTCATGTGCCCAGAAATCACATCAGCTCTGAGCTCTGACCTCTGAAAAGCTCGGTCCATAAGAGGGTTGTTGCTGCCCGGTCAGTGATGGACCTCAGGTCAGTTGGCTGCTCCTGGGCATTTACATACTCTAAGAGAAGAGAAAATAAATAAATATGTGGTTAGATCATCTGTTTGCTTTGGTCATTTTTCCTAAATACGACTAAAGTATACTCGAATGCATCCTTAGGATGCATTCAGCATTTCTTGGTGAAAGTGTCAACCAACAGTCAGTGTTGAAGTAGTCAGACTTCCTACTTCAACACAAAAACTGATGTAAAATTAAATACGTGCTTTTTATCCAGTCTGACTTGAGCAATTTTTCACGTAAATAAACTTTATATGTATACTGTATTTTTTAAAAAATCCCAAAAGAACTCTACAGTTATACATGCAGTAAAACAAAGTAATAATAGAGGAGAAAATATAAATATTTGACTTTGCAGCAAAGTAAAATATTTACATTAAAAAGGCAAAAGCCATGGACCTTAGTTACAGAGAAAGGGAAAATCGAGGCCTTTAAAATCAAATATTTTCTTACCAACTGCAAATGTTGCACTATTTTACCATATGTGGGTCAGTCATGTGAAATCTCAATAAAATACAGACAAGTTTTGTAGTTGAAACATGACAAATGTAAAAAGTTGACTTTACTTCCGTAGTGCACTACTGTACAGTGTACTGTCCAGTACTTACTGTAGCCTTGTCTCGGCGCGCTAATGCTAAGCGTGCGCGTAACACCAGAAGCATGTCCAAATGCGCCTGGAGAAGCACAGACACGAGGTGAGCCCACATGATTTTAGCACACATGCATGTTATCATGATGTGGTTTAGTACCTTTCTTCGAGTAGCAGTGTAACAGACGCAGACTGAGTGCAGCAGACATCTGATTAACAGAGAGTCAGAAAACAGAACATGCAAACAACAACGACAACAATGGTTGTCACAATCTCAACAGTGACAATATAGATAAACTCAGTTAATCAAAACTGAGTTTATCAACTGGCGCTCTGCAGGCAGGCCAGCAGAGCGCCAGCTGAGGACAGCCCTGCTGTAATCTGCTGTATGACACATTCGCGGCACGCCGGAAAAATAGGAAACTAGACGTACGAACTGGGTTTTAGGGTGTCCTTTGATTATAAGCCAATTACCACCATGACGCAATTTTACGTGAACAAAAATGACAACAAAACGGTAAATGTATTATTTCTTCAAGCGTAAGCAGCATGTAAGAAGAAAACTGCAGCTATTATGGTTGTTGTAGCGATTAAACCAAGTTTTGGAGGATATTTTGTTCTTTTGAAGACGGACTGAATGATGCACATAAACACTTGGCCCAACATCGCTTAATTTACCGTTACGCTTTCTATTTACGTTTTTCAGGTAAAACGTGTTTGTAAGTCCACTCTAAAACTGGTACTTTGCTCTTACGTCGCTTCTTCCCAGTTGTAGAGCTGAAAATTTTAGGTCTGTTTGACAACAGAAAACAAACCACATATATTCAGCATTTCTTGGTGAAAGTGTCAACCAACAGCGACTGTACAATTAATAATAATCTTTAACAGCACATACCTCTGGAGAGAGATTAGTGATGAACTCCACCGGTCCCTGAACTGCGCAGTTTTAGAAATGCTGCGTTCAAAGCGGCTCGTTTATTCCCCTTTCTCTCTGAGTCACAATCTCTTCACCCTGTTAACCTTTTGACATTTCCCCCTTAATTTGTACTACTTTTGACACTACATATATTTGCAACGCAGCTATTTGGCAATGCAGTAGGAAATGATATTGAAAACCTTTTTAAAAAGAATATTACCCTCTTTTTTTGTTTACAAATGTGTCATGCTGCCAAAGTAATATTAGTTTCACTTCCACAAATATTTAGGATCTTACAAAAAAAAAAAAAAAAAACGTTAATAAAGAACCACAGTGTGTTTCAGAGGAAAAGTGAGTCAACGAATTGGCAACTGTAACAGGCAAGGGCGGTGTGCAGATTAACAGCAGTAAATAGAGAGAGGAAGTTCATCTTCTGCTTCCATTTCTGGAAGACCTCGCTCTGCACCTTCTGCAAACAAATACACAATAATGGAGGGAATCTGAAAGGTATTTACATTTAAATTACATTTCATTTGATGGTGTGTCTGGTTGAATGGCAGGAAGTCAACACTCTATTAACTTCCTGTTAAAACTCTCCCAACCCTTAGTCAAGTGCGTGACAGAGAAATAGCAGCAGAAGAAAAAAACATGTAGAAAACAGGTAGATTACTGACTGCTATCACTTGTTTCAGATGGGATTATTACTCCTCAAGATGCGCAGCCCGACTACCATGAACTCTTCATGACTGGGGATACCTTTACAAAGTGAACCACGAGAGCCTCCGTCTTTCTGTGCTGCGAAGATGTTGAAAGCATCGAGTCAACCCCACAGGCATCAGAGTGAGGAGGACAGCTCTGGGTCGGATGCCGGATCAGAGGTCAGTCTTGAACCAGAGACGGACCGGTTTGGCTTCATTCTGACCAATGGATCCACAGCTGGGTGAGTTACACTTGCAACTGGAGAACTGCTACTCTACTGTCAGGAAGAGTTATACTGCTATAAAAATCACATGCACCGCTTAAGGAAATAAGTCAAGTTCAGATACAAAAATTAAAAACACTCAAAATAAAAGCTCTGATTAATTGATATATAAATAATTTGCAAAATAATTTAACCTGCTTGAATTCATGAGGGTCATATATTCTCCCTCCATTGTAATGATTTCTCTTTTCTAATTTAATGATACAAAAGTTCCTTGCTTTTTTTTTGAACAAAATATAATAAAAAGGTTCAGACTAGCAGGATCAACTTGAGAAAACGTGTACGAAGGGTTCCCGGAGTGACAAATAACTTATTTTTGTCTTCCCATGGTGAGACCAGGAAGTTATACCAGGCCACGTATCTGAGGACTGATGGGTTAATGCAATAGAGAAACATCTGTATCCTGCACACTAAAAGAGAGAGAAAAAAAATCAACAAAATATGTTTTGCACAATAAAATGGCAAAGGCACAAAGGGGGCAAGAGTTAATGAAGATGAACTTTTTAAGATAATAAAGGGAAAATGCACCACCTGAAAACAAAGCACAAACAAATAACGTATTATTTGATTTTTATTACAGATAATTATCAAATTATTATTTGCAATGAAAACCATTTTAGGTCTTTTTTTTAATATTATTACGAGAAAAGATAGAAGCTAGAGATAGAAGATGACTTCTATAACACTTTATTCATTTAAAGAACAAACAAAAAGCTTGTCAGATTGTTAGAACATAAACAAGCTCACAAAATATTTTCTACAAATGAGAATATGCCCACAGTAATGATTAACACTCAGTGTACATTTGAGCATTAAAAAAAATGAAAGAGATTCCCAGTTTATATACACTGTTTATAATTTCATGAATTTGCGCTTCTTTTACTTTCCAAACTATGAGTTTCTATGACACTGCCTGACAGCCTCCTTTCAGGCAGCTCACTGGCAGTGTGCAGCAACAAGTGGGGCGGGGGCAGCGCTGCATTATCTTATTTATTAAACAGTTTGGTGCATCTTCAGTGACTCTGACAGTTGCTCTAGCGTCTCACAAAAAGCATGTTAACGTGCAGGCAGAGTTCAAACAGGAGGTTTTAAGCCCTTGATAAAGTTTTATGCTGCAGCATCACGCATCAGAACTCTCACACTTTGTCACTTCACTGCGTCAAGTGAACACTTGACCCAGTGACGGTGGTAGATGAAGCAGTATCAAATCAGAGTAGGAGAGCCTGAGCAACCTGCTGCCCGTCATCTTCACATTTTCCCCATTGATAACATCCTGACCTGTTGCCACGGAGACGTCAAACTGCTAGCGTGTGGTTTTCCTGTTTCCTGCCTTGTTTTTCAGAGCTCCGCGTCTCTGTGCAGTGAAGGCACAGAGCAGCACTGCAGGCTGACTTTAAAAGCCCCCTAGAAATTAGTTCATAGGTTATCTTTTTTTCTTCTTCTTTGACGAAATGCGCTAAAACTACTCACTTGGTGTGTTTTGTGCTGTGTTGTGTGTCAGGAGTGTGGGCCCATCCCCTGAGCTGGTCAGGCAGAGGGAAGCCAAATGGATCAACATCATTGGCCAGTGGGACCGCATCTTGTTGAAGAAGAGCAGCAAGGTGGAGAGACGACAAGCACATAAACTCTTCTTTCGCTTGTCCATAGAATGATACAAAGAGAAGAATAGCCTTGTTTTTCTTCACTGTCACGACAAGCCAAATTGTTTGCTGTCAAAATGGCTTATAGGGATTCATACTGGGTCTTGATGTCTCTGCAGGTCAAACTGCAGTGCCAGAAAGGAATCCCCGCCTCGCTTCGAGCAAAGTGCTGGCCTCTCCTGTGTGGAGCATCAGACAGAATGAGACAAAATGAAAACCTTTATGAGGCAAGAGCTAATATGTTTTCACTGGAGTTAATGGTTTTTAGCAAACAGAGTTTTGTGGGGTTTTGGGGGTTTGCAACAAAAGCTGCATAGTTGTTGCAGGAATATGGCTGATATTTCTGCTGAGTAATTTGTGAGAAGCTGAAAATAATTTCCTGATTATTGTGATTTAAAAATGGAAACATGTTTGCGCTATATGGCACTTCTCTGAAAGTTAGCATAGCATTGAAAAGTTCATTTAGTTCTTTTTATTTTGTTGAAGGTCATCAATTTCAATCAATATCAGAAAACTTGACCTTATTATTGAATATAAAAACAACAGGAAATAATTCAAGCAAATAAGAATAGCAAATGATGATGACAGATGTGGATGGTGAGTACAAGAACCAAAAAATGAAACTATTGCTCTAGAGTCCAAATGTCCTTTTTCAGATTAAATTCTATTTAGAATCTCACTGAAAATCAAGATTAGAAGGGAAAATGGAGAAGAACAGAATCCAAATTTCTGGAGGCCCACGGTGACATTTCAGCATCCAGTGATGATTAATTAGGGAACTGTAAGAGATGGCCATAAAAATTAACTTGTGACCTTTAAAATCTATCACTATGTTTGCAGTTAATGTTTATTGTACAACAATCAATGTTCACTAAACTAGATAAATCAAGTTTGCCGTTTTATCTCTTTGTGACATTGGAATATGAATGATTTGTCATTTCAGTCTCTAGATTCACAGCCAGGTCTGCAGAGCTGGGTGGATATAATTGAGAGGGATCTGGACCGACAGTTCCCCTTCCACGAGATGTTCCTCTCCAAAGACGGACACGGGTAGGTTTGTTTTCTACGCATTGTTTCTGACAACTAGCTGCGAGCGGAGAACGACTTTATGACGCCTTTAGTTACTGCACCTGCAAGATAAATCATTGCTTCTTCAATTAAAACAGATAAATGTTTCTGATTAGTGAGAACACTTGAGATAACTGCTCTGCATGTGCTGTGTGGTTGATTATTGTGGTGTGTGTGCAGGCAGCGGGGGTTGTTCCGCGTGTTGAAAGCCTACACTCAGTTCCAGCCAGAGGAAGGTTACTGCCAGGCTCAGGGGCCAGTGGCTGCGGTGCTGCTGATGAACATGCCTGCTGAGGTTGGACCAAAATCACGTTTCTGTTCTGCAGACTAGGTGCAAGTTCACATGGAGAACAGTCACCCTGAAAGGGAGAATTATTTCTGTCAGGGCAGACTGAAGTTTTACTTTTACTCACTCATCTCATGCATGTGTCTTATTAACGGATGTTTTTGTTTTTCTTCAGTTTTATATCAAACATTTACTTAAAAATATCTGATATAGAGCAGTTTCCATGTGCCTGCTCTACCTTTCCACTCTTGGTTTTAGGGGGAGTATTTATGTTTACGAGCCAAACCTCTGGTCACTATATCCTGACATTCTTGTTCATGTCTGGCAGGAGGCCTTCTGGTGTTTGGTTCAGATCAGTGAGCAGTACCTTCCTGGATACTACAGCCCTCTGCTGGTGAGTGAACACTTAGTTTGGATGAGCAGTAAAGCTTCCTTCATGTTTCATCTTTCCAGATTTAAGTTTCAGACCCAAACAGATGAATGAATGATGCAAGGAAAGGTGGAGTGATGAATGGAGGACAGATGCAAAGGAAGACAGAGACATCTTTTAGAGTACTCTCGCATACCTTTCCAAATTGTTCTACAGGGAAACCTTTTTTCCTCCACTGCATCAGAGATTTCCAGGAGACACACCTGGTCAGCGTTAACAAGGTGTGGCTCTCTAACAGACAAACTGGTGTTTTGTGTAGGAGGGAGTCCTGTTTGACGCAGCCATCCTTTCCTGGGTCTTGAAGAAGACGTGCCCGGCTGCACACAAGCATCTCCAGCAGCACGGCGTGGAGCCGCTCATGTTCGCCACCGACTGGTTGATGTGTCTGTTCACACGTCACCTGCCCTTTAACACGCTTCTCCGAGTGTGGGACCTCTTCTTCTGCTATGGTGCGTCTACGTGTGTTTTTACACCAAAAACTTATTCAAATCGAGGCCATGTGAGTTTTATGTTTGCCACTGCAGTCGCTGTTGTGCATCCTTAGTGAAGTTCTCCCACCGCTGCCGTCCAGGTGTGAAGGTGCTGCTCCAGGTGGCGGTGGTGCTGGTGCGACGCGTCCTGG